GTGGTACTTCTATGTACTTTAAACAGTCCGATGCAGACTCGGGCGGTTCTGCCTGAGAGTACAGTTGAGTTGGTGGGACTTGGAGTCTCCTTCGTCCTGCTGCTGACAAAGATCCCGTCAGTATCTGCCAACTGAAAGCAGACCGAGCTTTCATTTTGACAGTTATAATGAGTTACACAGCGATGTGGCCAGCTGGCTGGATACCTCGTCCTCACCAGCAGTTATTAAGTGAAACTGCTTCATTATTCCTTAAGAGCCGATCAAACAGGCAGGCACACGTATTGTCACTGCTGGCACATGGCTATGGAGACAAGGAGGTTTTAGGTTGGAGGTGAAGGAAGTGAGTTTCCTTTTTTACACACAGATTTGTGGAGAAGCTGAATATTTAGCTAGCTGGTTAACCTGAATTCCATGTGATTGTAGCTGTGTAGTTTATCTTAAATAAGGGTGATTCCAGGATAAAGACAAAGAGGGATCGCATTAATAAAGGAGTGACTTCAGCTGACCTGGAGCGACATGATTGTGTTGTCACTATAACATTTGCTTTAAGTCTTTGCAGTTTTGTAACCTTCCAGAGCATATCTGGTTGTGTGGGGCAGCCAAATCATAAGTAACACAGTTTCAGTCTTTTTAAACTGCTGCTGTGTCCTCAGACTGTCTTACATTTTATACGTTTGCTTCTTCAGGGTCCGTAGCCACCGCTGAGGATCCAGCAGCTATTGCTACCATTCAGTCTGCTGCCACCTTTACTGACCAACCCATCAAATATCTGTTCAAGACAGAAGGAGCGGGTGGACAGGTAGGACGGAGTGCTGAGAGGAAGGCCTTGCTTTCATTCTGTCACTGTTTGCTTGTTTGTTTTCTGACACTTCTAATTTGAATGTAGTTCACCTAAGCACAAATGCACAGCTTCCAGCTTAAACGTTCAGGTAGATTGGAGTGTTCTCCTGAGGTTTACCTGTCACCTCAGAGGTAATGAGACATCAAGCACTCAGTGTAATGTGTTGTGTTGCAGGTGACCTACAGAGTGATCCAGGTGGCAGATGGCCAGTTGGAGGGTCAGACAGACGGAGCTGCAGCGGTCAGCCTGGTCGCCGGTTTCCCCGCGACCACTCAGACTGTCACACAGGTGCCAACAGTAACTGACAGCTAACTGTAATCTTAGGAGGTTGGAAGAAAAAGGTGTCGTAAACCATCGCCTCTGTTCAAGGATGGTCGTTCACACTGGACATGGATGGCTTCTCTTTCAAACCATCTGTCTTCTCTGTCCAAAATGTGAACACTGGCATCCTCAACAGAGTGACCTTTGACCTTTAGATGCAGATGTACAGCTGAGTGTCGTCCTGTCGAGGTGGCTCTTCTGTGTTGTGCCATGTGTTTTTGGAGTGGGTGTTTATGATGAGTTACACAGCCCTGTGGCCAGCTGGCTCGATATCTAGCCAGTGTAGAGTACTGAGCATTAGAGCAGGGCGATATGACCAAAAATATTTATCACCATATACATTTGAAAATTTGCGATAACGATATAACTGACGATATAATTGACACGAGACAAAATACTTTACAGCTCCACAACTTTATTAGTGCAAAAAAACCATCAATATATTTTCACTTAAACAAGCAGCTGTTTTTATCTGCATTAAAGTTATATAAAAATGTAACAGTGCAAATTC